CAGGCGTTTGTGGTGCTGAGTGACCTGCTGGGGGGGGTTTTGGGGGGATCCCAGGGTGGTTTTTGGGGTGTTTTAGGTGGGTTTTTTTGGGAATTTCCGGGGAATTCGTTGTTTTTATGACTCTCCAGTTGGATCCATGTCCCAATCCCGATCCCACTCCCTCTGGAATTCCCATTCCCAGGCGTTTGTGGTGCTGAGTGACCTGCTGGTGGTGCTGGGCCCGGCGCTGCCGCGGGCGCTGGAGCCGCTGGCGCTGCCGCCGGAGCCGGGGCTGCACTCCCAGCTCGCCTCCTTCCTCATGGATCACGTCTTCCTGCAGCCCCCGGAAAACCGGGAAGAGCCCCACGCCGCCGGTGGGTTCCCTCCCCCTCCCACAGCCCTCCATCCCGGCGCTCCGGGATTTCCTGAGCCCGGGAATTCGTGGTTCCTCGATCCCATCATTCCATGATTTCCTGAGCCCGGGGCTCCGGGATTCCAGGATTGCTTGATCCTGGGAATTCATGGTTCCTCGATCCCATCATTCCAGGATCCCATCATTCCATGATCCCATCGTTCCATGATCCCATCATTCCAGGATTTCCTGATCCTGTGAATTTGTGACTCCTTGATCCCATCATTCCAGGATTTCCTGATCCCATGGCTCTGGGATTCCAGGATTTCCTGATTCCATGACTCTTTGATTCCATGGATTCGTGATTCCTTGATCCCATCATTCCAGGATTTCCTGATCCCATGGCTCTTGGGATTCCAGGATTGCCTGATCCCGGGAATTCGTGGTTCCTCGATCCCATCATTCCATGATTTCCTGATCCCAGGGCTCTTGGGATTCCAGGATTTCCTGATCCCATGGATTTGTGACTCCTTGATCCCATCATTCCATGATCCCATCATTCCATGATCCCATCATTCCATGGCTCTGGGATTCCAGGATTTCCCGATCCCATGAATTTGTGACTCCTCGACCCCATCATTCCAGGATTTCCTGATTCCATGACTCTTTGACTCCTTGATCCCATCATTCCACGATCCCATCATTCCATGATTTCCTGAGCCCGGGGCTCCGGGATTCCAGGATTGCCTGATCCCGGGAATTCGTGGTTCCTCGATCCCATCATTCCATGATCCCATCATTCCTCGATCCCATCATTCCATGATCCCATCATTCCAGGATTTCCCAATTCCATGACTCTTTGACTCCTTGATCCCATCATTCCATGATCCCATC